TTACAACACCACCACCGTGTTTGCTACAACAACACCGTGTTTGTTACAACACCACCACCGTGTTTGCTACAACAACACCGTGTTTGTTACAACACCACCACCGTGTTTGCTACAACAACACCGTGTTTGTTACAACACCACCACCATGTTTCCCTCTGGGATCAATAAACTTTCATCTGATCTTTATCAGTAGATGTTTACTGACATTGTCTAATTAATTGAGCTCATTAGCAGCTGGAGCTGCAGCAGATTGCAGATGAGTGGATTCATCAAAGCAGGACGAGATGAGAGCTCGGCTTGTCCTCCTGACTCACTGAATGACCTTTGACCTTCAGGTTCTTCCTGTTTGTCCCCAGGAACAAATGAGCAACAACTCTGCTGAGCCTGAACTCTGGGACAGCTTTCAGATGACCCCCCAGCTCCGTGTCACGCTGGTCTTCAGACAGGTCAGGACTCATCTGGAAAGAGAAGACTCAGGACCACAGCTACAAGAAAGGTGCTGTGGGAGCTCAGGGTCAGTGCTGAGGTCTTGAGGTCCTGAGGGTTCAGGTTCTGGTCCAGGCTGTGTCAGAGGGAGTTAGCATTAAGACCAGAACAGTTCTGATCCTAAACTGATTGTCAGAAGGTCACAGGACCTGAGCTTCCTCAGACCCTCCTGAACCTGCAGACCTCCAGTCCTTCACAGTAAAATGGGTCATGAAGTAGTTGGACCCACTGACGTCTGCAGGGAAACTTTTAATAATCGTTCTGTCAAATGAGTCATTTGTGTGCTGAAATTACAAATCAGTCCTGCAATTTCTCGTTTAGGACTCTATTTTTTTCCTGACTTTTGTATATTGTAGCATTGAATTACTCCATTCATTCCAGCAAATTAATAATTCAATAATTAATATCCTTATCGGTTCTGTTCCATTTGTCCCGGTCCCCCTGACACCTGGACTTTGGACCAGTTGGATTAATGCAGCTGAACTTTGTTGGAGCTCTGATTGGCTGCTTCTCTCTGGGACTTGGAGGTYACTTCTTTTCTCAAACTCTTTTCTTCTGAAAGCAGTCAAGCAGAACTTTTTTAAAGCACACTTTCTCTTTGTTTGATGATTAAAGAACGATTATCTGTGGAGGATTAAAAGAAATCTTGTTGTTCTTCTGTCACTATAATTAACTTCATTTCCTAAACAGAGTCTCTCTGCCTGACTTAGTAAAACATTTTCCTCCTGTTTGAGGAAAAACACACATTTACACATTTTTAATGACGGCAAACATAAAACTCTTAAATTTGTCCTATAAATATAACCTATATCTGCTCTTATTTTTAAATTATTTGTTTTGGGAAACTTTTAAATCTTTGTTAATTAAAGTTTAATAATAATAAACTAATATGGGATTAGAACAACATATACCCTGTTTATACAGTTTATATTTAAATATAACATGAAGTTAAAAAGTAGCTTCTAAAACATTCTGTCCTTAATAGAAGTATTTGAACTAAGTTTTAATATTTTAATTATATTAATACAAAATACTTGCACCAAAAAGTAAACTACAGTGTGGATGTGAGCCCTGTTTAACTCAATATAAAGTTAAGACTTTTTTAATCTGTTTATTTTAATGTATGATTTGAATCTCTACATTTTACTGAGTTGTGTATTACAACAACAATAATACATAAAAACAGGAAGTTTTAGCCTGATATAAAAGGTTATTAGTAAATGTTTTACTAAAAGAAACCATGAGGTTATTTAATAATTAAGTTATTTAAAGGATTTTATTCCTGGTTGGATTGTACCGTCATACTTTAGTCAAATGAAAGGGTTAGTACATGTTAAACTGTAAAGTACTGTACTACACAGGTTTCTGACATACACTCCTTTACTATGATATAAAGTATTACATWTGTATGGTGTGTTTTAAAAGCTACATACATCATGACTCATTAGATTGTTGTGGACTCATAAGTCATGTCTCGTCTTTACAAAAAAAWTCTCATTCATTTCTGTCTATATTTCTGATTCTTATATCAATATTTAGATATTTTAGCTATAATAAGCATTAAAAAGCAGTGAGCAAACACAGTAAAACTTCTGTAATATTGTTTTTATTATTTATAAAGCAGTCTAAAACAAGCCCAACTGCAACAATAATCCTGAATTATTTACATGTTTACAGATTCATAAATAATTAGCATTAAAATATGAGCTTTTGCTTCGTTCAGTTACTGCTGATTTAAAGAATACATTAAGAACATGCAGAGTAAGCTTTTCTTTTTCTGGGTGTTTTATAAATATTTCATTTAAATGTCCTCAGATTAAAGTCTAAATCAGGTTWTTATTGAATATTGTGCCTCTTAGCGCAGCTCTTGTTGAGTTATTAAAGATAATTAGGTTTGAAAAAGCTCAGAATTTCAACTGAAAAATGTAGTTTACTTGAGAGAATGTTGTGAACCGGATCTGAAAGAACCGGACCTGAAAGAACCGGCTCTGAAAGAACCGGACCTGGAAGTACCGGACCTGGAAGAACCGAGCCTCTGAAACACTTAATGCAAAGTCAAACAAAAACCTTTTTTTAAACGTTTTATAACAGGGATAAAAACTAAACCTTATTGTTTAATATCATGTACAACAGAGGAAAACACTCCAATAATTATAGTGGGACCAGAGAAGAAAAAACTATTTTACACAAAGAAACTGAATTATCAACAGAGTTTAGTATCTTTGTGCAACCAACAGCAGAATTAAATGAACATGAATTATTAACGGTTTGAGCTGAGCTGGATGTGGGAGTCTGATGATGACCGGTTCTGAACAAACAGAACTTCTTTGGGTCGGTCGCTGTGATTAGTCCCAAAGCAGCAGGGAGCAGCCGAGGACTCGCTCAGAATATTGATGTCATATTATTTCTGATCAGGCGGGGTCCTGGTCCTCCGCAGGCTTAATTTCTGACGGGGATGCTGGGAAACGAAGTGACCYCTGAGGTCTGAGCTCCTCAGGAGACAAATGTCTCCAGATGTGTCTCCAGTTGTGTCTTCAGGAGGAAAAATAAACCTGGGAAGTGTTTTTACAGGCCGCTGACCCAGAACCGTCTGAGGTTTTCACTCCAATTTTTTCWTCATTTTATTTTTATTTTAAGCAGAACTTCACACATGGAAGCATGTTTTTAAGTTAAAACGACTGAAACAAAGAAACATTAGAAACCTCAGCTGTTGTGGCTGTTTTTATGTGAAAAATCTTCAGAAAGACTGATGTTAAACCAAAAACCTGCTTTAGATGTTTGGAGACTCTTTAAACTGAACTCAGATTATTCACATAATTATTCAAAACATAACTAAAGCCTGGTCTAAAACCTCCATGTGGTGTTCACATGTGTGGTGTTCACATGTGTGATGTTCACATGTGTGGTGTTCACGTGTGTGGTGTTCACATGTGTGGTGTTCACGTGTGTGGTGTTCACATGTGTGGAGTTCACATGTGTGGTGTTCACATGTGTGGTGTTCACGTGTGTGGTGTTCACATGTGTGGTGTTCACGTGTGTGGTGTTCACATGTGAGGTGTTCACATGTGAGTTGTTCACATGTGAGGTGTTCACATGTGTGGTGTTCACATGTGTGGTGTTCACATGTGTGGTGTTCACATGTGTGGTGTTTACATGTGTGGTGTTCACATGTGTGGTGTTCACATGTGTGGTGTTCACATGTGTGGTGTTTACGTGTGTGGTGTTCACGTGTGTGGTGTTCACGTGTGTGGTGTTCACATGTGTGGTGTCCACATGTGAGGTGTTCACATGTGAGGTGTTCACATGTGAGGTGTTCACATGTGAGGTGTTCACATGTGTGATGTTCACATGTGTGGAGTTCACATGTGTGGTGTTCACATGTGTGGTGTTCACATGTGTGGTGTTCACGTGTGTGATGTTCACATGTGTGATGTTCACATGTGTGGTGTTCACATGTGTGGAGTTCACGTGTGAGGTGTTCACATGTGAGGTGTTCACATGTGTGGTGTTCACGTGTGTGGAGTTCACGTGTGTGGTGTTGACATGTGTGGTGTTGACATGTGTGGAGTTCACGTGTGAGGTGTTCACGTGTATGGAGTTCACGTGTGTGGTGTTCACGTGTGTGATGTTCACGTGTGTGGTGTTCACGTGTGTGGAGTTCACGTGTGTGGAGTTCACGTGTGTGGTGTTCACGTGTGTGATGTTCACGTGTGTGGTGTTCACGTGTGTGATGTTCACGTGTGTGGT